TTATTTCATTACACGTTGCTCTCTCTATACTTGTTACCTTATCTGATCATCGCATCATTTTATACCATATTCAAAAAAGTGCATTGTTTAACCATTCACTACTGTATCTATTGTTGTTGAAATAAGCATGTGGGTTGCCGTTGGGGAACCACATGCCTGTCTGTGCCAACTATATGCACTACAAAAATAAAGAATAAAAAAAAATAAAAAAATAAAAAAATAAAGAAGTAAATTAAGGTCAATTGCTTTGAAATAGAAACAAGGGACGTAGAAAACAAGGGAAAAGAGGACAAATCAGATAAGAAATAGGAGATAAAAAGAGAAGAGGAAAAAAAAAGGATAGCTTAAAATTAAGACTGATATAACCCCTGAAAGGGCTTTTAAAAAGGGAGTACAATTTAACAATTTAAAGGAGAAGTTTAAAGAGAAAGGGAAGGGGAAAAAAAGAAAAAAAAAAAGGAAAGGAAAGGGGGAAAGGAGAACTGCAGATACAAATATCCTCAACTAAAACATGCCTTATATGGCTTCTAAAAAAAACAAATAACACAGCTTCTAAGAAAGAGAAAAATGAAGAAAAACAAAAAAACGTGTTTTTAGGAACATCACAGAGGAAATCAGCCCAGATTATCTGAGAAATTACCTGGTCCATTACTTTAAGGAAGTAGGGGTCGAAGATAAAGCCTTCAGTTCAACAATCAAACGAATACATCGCCTATCAAAACTAGGCAGGATGAAAAAACAACACACCTTGAGATGTCAGCGCTAAATTTTAATCCTTTGCATTCAAAGAAAACATCTTAAAAATTATAAGAAAAAAATAAAGTGAAGGACGATAAATTTAAAGATGTGTTGGTCTTTCCAGACCTTTCATACCAGACTAGATTACGCAGGAAATATTTTGTGGACGCTCTGCAGTTTCTAAGACAAAAGAATATTCGCTACAGCTGGGGTTTCCCAACGTCCTTCTTTTGACCAACATTCAAGTAGGTGAGCACTTGGGAAATAGTGATCACAATATAGTTTCCTTTGAAATAAACTAAAAAAACAAAAAAAAAACAAAAGCACATGGGGTATACTAAAACATTTTAAAAAGGCCAATTTCTATAAGTTAAGGGCAGCTTTACAATATATTGACTGGCATAAACTCTTTAGTGAAAAGAACACTGAGGATAAATGGAACATCTTCCAACAAATATTAGAAAGGTACATTTCTCAGTATGTACCATTGGGTAATAAATATAAAAGAAACAAATTAAAACCAATGTGGCTTAGCAGAGAAGTAAAACAAGAGATTAAAAATAAGAAAAGGACATTTAAAGCATTTAAATTGGACAAATCAAATGCATGTTATAAAAGATATAAGGAAGCCAATAATTCCTGCAAAAAGGCGATTAGATTTGCTAAAATGAAAAAAAAATGATAGCTAAAGAGAGCAAAACCAGCCCCAAAGCATTTTTTAAGTACATAAATTCTAAAAAAAACCAAGAAATGAAAGTGTAGGTACACTAAAAACGGAAAAGGGGGTGTTCGTTAATGAAAAGGCAGGAATTTTAAATAACTATTTCTCCTCCGTATATATTAAGGAAAAACCCATGGCAATAGATGTGCAAATGATTGCTACTAAAAACTTGCAGAATAATTGTAATTGGTTAACTCAAGACAAGGTGCTGCAGCAACTAAAGAAAGTTTATATAGACAAAGCTCCGGGGCCTGACGGTATCCATCCACATGTACTTAAGGAACTAAGTGTAGAAATAAGTGAACCTCTGTTTTTAATCTTTCAAGATTCTTTTCTTTCAGGAAGTGTTCCGGAGGATTGGAGGAAGGCAGATGTGGTTCTTATTTTCAAAAAGGGTTCAAAATCCTTGCCTGGAAATTATAGACCTGTGAGCTTAACTTCTGTGGCTGGGAAAATATTTGAAAGGTTATTAATTTATTTCTAAAATATTTTACAGGAAAGATACATTGAGATTTCTCTCATTTTCAAGTATGTCCTGGGTGCGATAAGCGATAATATTCAAGAATTCCTTGAGAAGAACATGGTTATCAGCAAAAATCAGCATGGTTTTATGAAGCACAGGTCATGTCAAACTAACTTGATTGCATTCTACGAAGAAGTAAGTAGAAGTATAGATCAGAGTGTTGCAGTGGATGTGATCTATTTTGATTTTGCCAAGGCATTTGATACAGTTCCACACAATAGATTAGTGTTCAAACTCAAGGAAATCGGTCTAGATGAAAATGCTTGTTCTTGGTAGAACATTGGCTTAAAAATAGAGTACAAAGAGTTGTTGTTAATGGTAAATTTTTAAGCTGGACAGAGGTGGCAAGTGGTGTCCCTCAGGGGTCTGTTCTGAGACCCCTTCTATTTAACATGTTTATAAATGATCTTGAAGAACGCATCGAAAGTCATGTTTCAGTGTTTGCAGATGACACAAAACTCCGTAAAACAATACAATGTGAGCAAGATATTACTTTGCTGCAGAGGGATTTAGATAGACTGGGGGTCTGGGCACTCAAATGGCAGATGAAATCTAATGTTGAAAAATGCAAAGTTATGCACTTCGGCGTAAAGAATACACAAGCAACGTATACCCATAATGGAAGCGAATTAGGGATAACAACACACGAAAAGGACTTGGGAATTGTTATAAACTATGCAACAATGTGCAATGTCAATCAGCAGTGGCCAAGGCCAGTAAGGTATTGTAATGCATGAAAAAGGGCATTCATTCTCGAGACGAGAATATAATTGTGCCTCTTTATAAAACAATGGTAAGACCACATATTGAATATGCTGTGCAATTTTGGGCACCTTTTCTAAAGAAGGATATTATGGCACTAGAAAAAGTGCAGAGGCAGAGGCGGGCTACAGAATTAATAAAAGGAATGGAACATTTCAGCTATGAAGAAAGGTTAACAAATTTAAACCTATTTAGTTTAGAAAAACGTCGCCTGAGAGGGGATAAAATAACATTATACAAATATATTCGGAGCCAGTGCAAACCATTGTGTGGAAATCTATACACAAACCGGCCTTTACATAGGACACAGGGGCATGCATTTAGACTGGAAGAAAGAAGATTTTGTCTAAGGCAAAGGAAAGGTTTTTTTACTGTAAGAACAAGAAGGATGTGGAATTCTCTGCCTGAAGAAGTGGTTTTATCAGAGTCCATACAGATGTTCAAACAGCTACTAGATACATACTTGCAAAAACAGAATATTCAAGGATATAATCTTTCAATGTAGGGTAATAACTGCTTGATCCAAGGATAAATCTGACTGCCATTCTGGGGTCAAGAAGGAATTTTTTTCCTAGATTGTTGCAAAATTTTGCCTTCTTTTGGATCAACAGCAAAAAACAAATGTGAGGAAGGCTGAACTTGATGGACGCAAGTCTCTTTTCAGGTATGTAACTATGCTCTGGGAAGGCAAAAAAATGTGTATTCCAAACACCAGAAGCATTAAAATCTTGGTCAGAAGAGTCTCTCTCTCTCTCTCTCTCTCTCTCTCTCTCTCTCTCTCTCTCTCTCTCTCTCTCTCTCTCTCTCTCTCTCTCTCTCTCTCTCTCTCTCTCTCTCTCTCTCTCTCTCTCTCTCTCTCTCTCTATCTCTCTCTCATATATATTTTTTTTTTTTTTTTATTAGTGGTAGTATTGATAGGACCAACTATGATAAGTACCATAGATTCCACCCATTGTACAGTGCTACGGAATGTGATGGAGCTATATAAATAATAAAATAATAATAATAGATGGCTCAATAGAAACATAGAATGTGACGGCAGATAAGAACCATTCGGCCCATCTAGTCTGCCCAATTTTCTAAAAACTTTCATTAGTCCCTAGCCTTATCTTATAGTTAGGATAGCCTTACGCCTATCCCATGCATGCTTAAACTCCTTTACTGTGTTAACCTCTACCACTTCAGCTGGAAGGCTATTCCATGCATCCACTACCCTCTCAGTAAAGTAATACTTCCTGATATTATTTTTAAACCTTTGTCCCTCTAATTTAAGACTATGTCCTCTTGTTGTGGTAGTTTTTCTTCTTTTAAATATAGTCTCCTCCTTTACTGTGTTGATTCCCTTTATAAGAGGATTGAACTATCCGGAACAAAAGACAATATATTGAACATATATATATATATGGGAACACAACAGAGCATAGCACAAATTGCACTTTATATAGACACAAGATACAATGGTAAGAGTGAATTAGAATAATTCACATTTTACATAAATACTTTACGATGGAACTTCATAGAGGGTATATTGAAAGGATGGTTTAAATTGGACCAATTATAAGATAAGTTATAAAAGATATATATTTTGACGTAACATAAGAGGTTCTTACTTAACTTACACATTCTCATATGATCACATATTGTAACATAAGCACCGGTTGTTTTATTATATAGGGCAATATCTAATTATTAGGGATATGATGGAGTGCACTAATAATAAGAAGATATAGTAATAAGGAATTAAGGAAATAGTTGGTATAAGTTTCTTTGTTTTTTTTCCTCAGGCTCTCCAATATATATCAAGAAACTTAAAGTAATAATGTTCACTTCAAACGATAGATTCCCTGCCGTAGGTTCATTGAACTTAGTAGTTTGTCGCACTTTCCTCGGTATGTCAGGGGTAGTTGGTCATACTTATTCCCTCCATTTAGAGGGATTAGTTTGTGGTATGCATTTCTTGAGGATCAAGAAGACTTCCACAAATGTGTTTTTTGTATGTATGTATATAGGTTGTTTTTTTTTGCTGCCGGCCATAGACCACAAAATTGGTGCTAAAAACAATGAAAAAAGGAAGCAATAAATATTTTAATGATTCAAGAAATTCACTGGAAGGCAAACGATGAACAAAAATGGTGAACTAAAGTTCAGACATGTATATTCCGCTTCCTTACCTAAACGAGCTCCGCTTCCACGTGCTCCAAAACGCGGCTAAAACAGGCATTTTCGGTGTAATCTCCAACCCTAACCTCAGGAGCGATGTCCCAACACCGCGCAAAGAAAACCACGGAGGCAAAAGATAAATCAGCCTTCTTTGCGGCCAGAACTTCGCAGCACAAACCCGCCGACCACCAGTGCCAAGATGGCGCCGACACAGATTCTGATGCAGACCGCGCATGCACAGCGGTTAAGCAAGTGGATGTCCCTTTAACACAAAATCTCCTGCAAATCATGCTGGATGCAGCAGTTGCCAAAATGCAAACCACTGTTACAGAGGCTATTAATGGCATGAGAAAAGACCTTACAGACCTCCCACCTCGAGGACAATATGGAAAACCTCACTATGGCACATAATGCGACAGAGGTACGCCTCAGCAAAATTGAAGAACAACTTTACATCCATGAGACTAAAATCACTGATACAGAAGACAGATAACGCCACAACAATATACGCCTGAGAGGAGTACTGGAAGAAGTAGGGGCACAAGATCTAGCGGCCTACTCTGTGGAGCTGTTTCAAGCTATACTGCCAGATATCCCAGCAGACATGTTCCTCCTGGATCGCATCCATAGGCTTCCCAGACCGCAGCACCTACCGCCCACTACTCCAAAAGATGCCCTTATGAGACTTCATTATTACCACATCAAAGACCAAATCCTGCGGGCACAAAGGAACTACCTGCCCAGTTCAAAGGCATTTCAATGTTTATGGACCTATCCACAGAGACATTACGCCGAAGAAGATCCTTCAAGGACATAGGGACGCATTGAGACACCACAATGTCTCATACCACTGGGGCTACCTGGCCAAACTCCTTATCACAAAAGGGGGTCATGACAGCAATCACACCGGCAGAGGGATTGGACCTCCTGCGGCAATGGGGTATGTCTCGGAATCTGCAGCCAACCCTCCAAAACCCCGGCAAATCCTTGCCAGAAGAATGGCACCCTCAGAAAATGAGGCGCACATCCCAGAGAGAAGACTGAAGACGCTCGACAAGATACAGCAAGTTTTAACCCAGTTCTACCTAATACCCACCTGTTATAAAATGTGATAGTCTAGATCTTTAGCCCCCAAGACTCACCCTTTTAGGGAGGGATGGGGCAATATGTGCGACCCCTATCACAAACCCTTAACTAACCACGTTGAGCATAGCCTACCGGGTAACAGCCACTATGGCCATGGCCTCTACCGCTAAACTACAGGCATTCTACTGCCCATAGAGGCGTTGGTTGCTCCAACCACTAAATCTTAAATAAAGTAAGGTCAGAGAGAAACCAATCCCCAATGAGCCCGAGGTGGCGTCCGATTGACCCGACCCGTTCACATTACCCCCACTCAGGAAGTGCCATAGTCAAGGCACATACCTCTGAAAGTCACCATTATATGATACTTTCTTTAATTCTTGTTTGATTGTTTGACTGTATTATTCTGTTTTATTTTACTCTGTATTTTGCATTGTACACCTGGTCCACACCACTAGATACCAAGACATGACTAATCCACTGACTGTACTACCCAGACAACCAGACCAGACACTCTGGCAGGCCCACCACACCACCAGGACTGTAACCGCCTCCTCCCCACCAATACGGCAAGACAGCCCTACCACATAACAACCATAAACCACGACACACACACTACATACACTACACATGGAAAATGAAGATACTTATCCACAATATTCGCGGGCTGAACTCTCCCAACAAACGACACACCCTTCTTAAAGAGCTCAATAGCACACAAGCGGACATCGTCTGGTTACAGGAGACACATTTCAAGCAAAACTCTAAACCCATACTGGGACTCAAGAACTTCCCACACCAGTTTCACGCTACCGCCCCAACCAAAAGTAGTCGATTCTACTGAGCCTTTCTAGCCTTTGACCTAATCTCAATCCAACTCGACCCACAAGGTAGATTTATCATCCTAATATGCACTTTGAACAATACCACATACACGATAGTGAACTCTTATTCGCCGAACGACAACCAGAAGCCATATTTGGCCTCTCTCCTAGACAAAGTAGAAAAGCTCCAGACAGGCATCACAGTCATCAGCGGTGACTTCAATCACATACTGGACCCTAACGCAGACTTTACAGCCCGACACTCCGCGAAACGTAAAAAGACCCTATACAAGTATTGCAATTCCATGAACAAACTATTGTCATCATATGGCCTTTATGAAATCTGGAGAACCCTGCATCCTAACGACAAGGAATATACCTACTACTCCCAAGTTCACAATACGTACTCCCGCATAGACGGGTTCCTAATATGCAACACTCACTTATAACAGGTCAGGGCATGCGACATAGAAAAATCCACAATATCAGATCATAATCCAGTTTCGTTAGTCCAATTCAAAAACCGAAGCCCCTACAGGCTAAATAAAAACCTCCTCAGCAACCCCTCCTTCATGGAAAAGATGCGTAATGAAATAAACCTCTACTTCGCGTCCAATGCGCCTAACGGTCCCACCCCCGCCACACTGTGGCTAGCACACAAGACCGTTATCCGGGGGATCCTGATAGGTAGAGCGGCATATCTTAAAAGGGTCAATCATAACACTTTGATCACACTCCTCAAAAGAGTTCAAGACCTTCACAGATCAAACCAAGCAAATCCCACCAAGATACTCCAACAACAAATACAAACCACGCAAAACGAAATTAACGAAATTCACCTCCGTAAGGCAAACGCAGCATTGAAGAAACTAAAAGCCACTTCCTACTCAATGGGAAACAAGGCTACGAAACTGTTAGCACTAAGACTACGCGACAAGCAAGCACAAACGAGAACACAATTCCTATACACACAATCCGGGCAAAAAGTAATGCAACCCACACAAATATGTAATGAATTCGCTCGCTGTAACGGCACACTGTACAACTCCAGACCACCCTAACATGCCCCAACCCACTCCAGCGACAATAAGAGCGTACCTCAATAATCTCGCACTCCCCACTATCCACTCACAACAAGCAGCACAACTCACTACCCCCATCACCACAGAGGAGATGCTACACCATATAGATACAATGCCCAAAGGTAAAGCAACAGGCCCCGATGGGTACACCAATACGTATTACAAAACATTCAAACACGAACTAGCTGCACCTCTCACCCAATTCTACAATGAGGCAACTAGACAGGGCTCTTTTCCAACTAAGTTCCTGCCAGCACACATCATCACCATCCCTAAACCAGGGAAACCCCCAACTACATGCTAAAATTTTAGACCAATCTCACTGCTTAACGCAGACGCCAAACTATACGCAAAAATTCATGCCGACTGCCTCAAAACAATACTACCTTCCCTAATTCACACAGATCAAGTGGGATTCGTAGCGGTCAGACAGGGCCCGGAAAACACCAGGAAAGTCCTTAATATATACCACCTCCTAAAACACACTAAGAAAGAGAGCATCATGCTCTCACTAGATGCCGAAAAGGCGTTTGATCGCCTAAACTGGCACTTCCTACACGAAAAACTGTCACTAAACGGCTTTCCACCGCCCTTCCTGTCTGTAGTCCGAGCCCTATACATTCCCACAGCAACAGTGCTGACCTTGGGATTCTGCTCAAAGGCCTTCCTGATCATTAACGGCACCCGCCAGGGATGCCCTTTATCTCTCCTTTTGTACGTCCTGGCCTTGAAGCCTCTAGCCATAGCCATCCGCAATAACAACAACATCCGTGGAGTGTCAGTAGGCCAAATGGAGTACAAACTCAACCTCTTTGCGGATGACATACTACTTACACTCACCCAACCACTCATTTCACTCCCATCCCTACACAAAGATTTACACGCATACAGTCAACAATCCTACTACAAACTAAACGTCATCAAAACACAAGCGATATGCCTCAATGTACCTAAACCTACAGAAGAAAACCTGAAATCGGCCGAAGAATACGCCTGAAGAGAAAATCACTTAACATTCCTAGGCATCAGAATAACCAGTAAAGCCACTGACCTATTCACAGCAAACTACAAGAAATTGATGCGATAAATTGAAAAACAATTACATACCTGGAAAATTGTGTTCCTATCCTGCGTAGGGAAAATAGCAGCGATCAAAATGACAATACTTCCCAAAATTCTATATCTTTTCCGATCCCTACAAATCAAAATCCCACAAAGCAATTTGACAAACCTACAAGCAACCCTCCTACGCTTCAGCTGGAGCGGAAAACACCCCAGAGTCCCTAAAGTCCTGCTCTTCAGACACGTAAAACATGGAGGCATGGGATTCCCAAACCTAAAATCATACTATCACTCGGCCCTCCTCACGGATGTCATTAGCGCATACTCAACGGTACACACCCCCAATGGGTGGCAATGGAAAGCCAGTTCTGCAACAACAAAGACCTATCTTCCACGCTGTGGACTCCCCAACACATAAGACCACGAACTCCGGACATGTTGCCCACCACTAAATTTTTACTATCAACGTGGGACGTCTGCAGAGACAAATTATGCTCGGCACACCCATGGGCACTAGCTGCCCCCATCAGGACCTTATACCACTGTAATGGCACTTTACCACACCAGAAATGGGACGAGAAAGGTATCACACACCTGTACCACCAATATGATATTTCTCATACTGTGCACAGTGTCCACTCTAGCTCGAAACTGGAAGACCCCTAATCTCCCTTCAATCCAAGAAATCACAACCCTAATGTTGGCAACTGTAGACTATGAGCTCCTTATGTGGAACCAACTTAAAATGGGAAGCTGAGCCCATCCATAGACGTGATGTGGTGTACCTACCTACTAAAGTCGAAGATACCTAAACAAACCTCCACAGCCTAATGCGACAAAAGGCTAACATAAGCCAGATCTCAGACGATAACTGCCACAAAGAACAAAGGAAACACAACACCAACACACCACAGGACAACACATGACCCTGAACATGACACACGTCCCTCAATAAACCCCTGCCAGAATTGGCACTACCCGGTACCGCACCTACTACCCCCTTTTACCCTACCTTTCCCTCCTCTCCACCAACCCCCTTTCCGATCCTCAAACCTTGAAGCGAAATATGACATGCCGCTCTAAACCCCACACGACACTTTAAGCAAAGTTGTTACAACAGAGCTACATTATGCAGATATCAGCTACTGCTCAAGACATATAGACAAAGTAACCCCACAGATCTAAATAGGCCTGAAGTAGGCGACCACACAAAGAAAATTGAGCTGACAGACCTCTAAAACGGAGCCAAGGACAAAGAGTAGGAAGCAAATTAACGCCTAACTTGAGCATTTAGCAGAAACTTACTCACCATGCTCCCAAGTGTAAAATGTCGAATGTCAAATGTTTAATCTGCTGTTCGAGCCTTCTACCATACGGCCTAAGCTGTCAATATCAAAACCTACTGCATCTGTTACTGTGAAAAAGCCCTCAATGTAAGTGCTCTGAAATGTATGAAATGCAAGTTGTGCCATGCTAAACAAACCTTTTTTTAATTCCCCACCCCGCATTCCTTCTGTATCCCTATACTATTTGAAAACAATAAAGAATTAGATACAAAAAAAAATGTAGGTCACCTTAAAATTAAATTTTACCATAAAGGAAACAGAGCTGATAAAATGTTAACAAATAAACAAACAAAAAAATCAAGATAAAGAATCTCTTTAATAAAAGTTAACGATCAAGTATACATGACCCCAAAAGATATAGCTAATGTGTTTGTTGATTTTTATAAACAACTTTATAATCTTCCCAAGAAGGCTTCAAAAGAAGACATCAATAACTATTTGAATGATATAAATCAACCCCCAATTTCAACTGAAAAAATTAACAGATTAAATCAACCAATAAATATAACAGAAGTTGAAAAAGTTATTGATAAAGTGGCACAAAATACAGATCCTGACGGTTTCAGCAATTTATTTTATAAACTTTATAAAAAAGAAATAGCACATCACCAGGTTTCAACTTTCAATGAGATAGTGAGTAAAGGCAGTTTTCCTCGTGAAATGCTAAAAGCAAATATCTTACCTATATTAAAACAGGGAAATAATTCAGCAGATTTAACAAGTTATAATCCTATCTCACTGATAAATGTTAATACTAAGTTATTTTCTTCAATTAGTTGAGCGTTTGAATAACATTTTGTTAGAGAACATACATCCGGACCAGATTGGCTATGTGCCAGGAAGGTCTTCTTGTAACAATATTAGAAGAATAATCAATATTTTAGACTCGGCTGAGCAGGTAGGTACTCCCCTCCTTACCTTGTCGTAAGACGCAGAAAAAGCGACAGGGTGTAATGGGAGTACATGTTCGCTACATTAAAACTATATGTGAGGAATAGAATGCTCAGTGCTATAAAACATGATATACTGTTCCTAGAGCAAGGGTGGTGGGGACAAATTTATGTTTAGACTGGTTTGAAATAAAAAACGGAACAAGACAGGGATGCCCTTTATCACCTATTTTGTATCTTTTTTCTATTGAACCACTTGCTACAAAAATTAGAGAACACAAAGACATAAAGAGGTACCCAATTAATAATCATCAGTCAAAACTCTGCCTATATGCAGATGATGTCCTTGTATTCTTGTTGATCCAAATAAATCATTGAAATATGTGTTGGAAGTACTAGATAGATTTAGTCATATTTCTGGTTTTAAACTAAATATGAGTAAAACTGTTGCTTGACTTTATAACAAAGATAAAAATGAACGTGAGCGAATCTGCAGTAAATATAGTTTAGATTTTTCAAAGAAGAACTTCACCTACTTTATCATTCCTTCAGACATTATAAAAATAGTCGAATGTAATTTCTTGGACAACTTTAGAACCACGAACATATTGTTGAAAGAATGGATTAATAAAGAGATATCATGGTATGGTAGAATCATAAAATCGTATATTCTACCCAAATGGGTTTACTTATTCAGAATGCTACCATTAAACTTTCCATATCTCTGGTTAGAACTAATCCAACATAGCTTCAGAAATTTTGTGTGGAAAGGGAAAATACCACGCATCAATATTGATATAATGTCAAAAGATATTAAAATGGGTGGCTTAGGCTTCCCTATTGTCCAACAACATCATGATGCAAGCATTATATATATCATATCCATAAGATGTATAATCCAATTTTTAACAATGAAGACTGGTATCATCTAGAGATAAAAAAATGTTGACTGTAAAAACCAATCTACTCTTATATGGAATTTAGGGACTATACCAACTGATAAATATAGGGGTATGATACTTAACCAAATACTACCATTATGCAATAACTTAAAAAAAAGCTAATTTATCTGATAAAATTCTCGAATATTTAAGAAATTGAAAACAACGTAGAGAACTTAAAGTTAGAAAACTGGAAAAACACAGGATTACAAAAAGTGTATCACCTTATAGAAAATAATACTATTAAAAAAATGTCAGTTCTGCAACATACTTATGGGTTGCCTTCAAAAGAGACATTTAATTATATCAGAGTGAAAAGCTTTCTGAGAAGACACGCCCTGTTGGAAAATAATGAAATATCACTGATGCTAGAAAAAATATTCCTGCAAAAAGATAATAAAGTATTGTCTAAGTGTATAAATCTAATTAAAATATTGAATAATAAAGAACAGAAAAATAGAAATATTACCATTTGGGAAAAAGATCTCCATCATTTGATAGATTTGATAGACATGTGGAGACAGCGGGAAAACCAAGTATTATATTTAACAATGTTTTGACATTAGCGCAAAAAATATTATTTTAGTCCCTTAGATAAAGATATGTTAAATTTTGAATTGGTCATTGTTCTCGGCCGGCAGCCAACTAGATCAATGTTGTATGTTCTGGCTGGAAGGTCTTGCCTGATTTTCCTATTCCAGAACACTGGCGTAACCTGGCAGCTATTATTTTAAAGTCTTGTTGTTTTTTTTTTTCTTTTTTGTATGAATTGTAAACATTTTATGTTTGTAAAGAATAAAAATTTTAGGAATAAAAAAAAATAAAATAAAAGAAGTTTTGCCTGTTTCCTGCACTCCAGAATATCAGGTATATAGCTAACTACGCTCTGACACCGTCTTACAATCCTTGCTAATCTGAGCTATATGCTATGCATTATATCGTCTTTTTTCTTCCTATATATTAATTTACAAAAAAAGTGCAGTATACACTATATTTTCTTGTTGAAATGTCATTAAACAGCTTGTAACTATAATTTTGCACTACAAAAATAAAGAATATAAAAAGGAAAAAGAAGGAAAAAGAAAGGGAAAAAACTCATTACATTTTTCTTTCTCGCATGTTCAAGCATCAGGTCATGGAGAGGATGTTTCTACACAGCACCTCAGCTAGGCCCTGCACCCAGGTCAGACCCGGTACAGCGGAATCACCTGTCCCCACTACTCCCGGCTCCCTGAGGTCTTGAACTATCCCCAAACTATATGCAAACTGCACCATAGATGTATCCCATTTACGGCACAGTTCGGAAGGTGGAATTCTACTATTTACTATCCGCTCAGTCTACTGACCCAGGCTTGGCACAAGTTTGCAAGGAGGCAGTACGGACAGCCTGGTAGAGGTCCAGGGCTTGATGTCCACCATTATTGCTTCCCTACAAGCCATAAACGAATGACTGCCTATTCTGGTAATGACCAACCCATGTCCCTCTAACGCATGGGTCGCCAACCTGGTCCCTACCGCCCACTAGTGGGCATTTCAGGATTCCAGGTGGGCGGTAGGGATTTCCTCATTTTGAGAGATTGGGTGGGCGTGCGGGTGCGAGCCAGCGGAACCCGGCCGCCCTCCAAGGGGCCATCGGGTGGCCCATGCTGTCAGGGCCACCCGATGGATGTGGATTGTAAGGGGGCCCGGTCAGCGCTGGGTGCTTTAACAGCGCAACCGGGCCACCTGTGATTACATCACAGAGCTGGGAGGAAGTGACTGCACATCACTCCTCCCAGTTAACACACAGACCGCGCGGGAGGAAGACTAGGGAGTCAGAGTAGGAACTCTGACTCCCATCCACCTAAGCCACCACTGGTCCCCAGTGTCACCCTCCTGCACCTAAAAGGTAGGAAACAGGAGGGTGACTAGAATATTTTGTGTGTGTTTGTTTGTGTGTATGTGTCTTTGTATGTATGTCTTGTGTGTGTGTCTTTGTATGTACGTGTGTGTGTGTCATGTATGTGTGTGTGGCTGAGTCTTTGTATGTATGTGTGTGTCTTATGTATGTGTCTTTCTATGTATGTCTTGTGTGTGTGTGTCTGTCTGTAAATATGTGTGTATGTATGTGTGTCTTGTCTTTGTATGTATGTGTTGTGTGTGTATGTGTCTTTGTATGTATGTGTTGTGTGTGTATGTGTCTTTGTATGTATGTCTTATGTGTGTGTCTTTGTATGTGAGTGTCTGTATGTATGTGTGCATGTCTGTGTGTGTGTCTGTATGTATGTGTGCCTGTCTGTTTGTATGTATGTGTCTTGTGTGTGTGTGTGTGTGCCTGTATCTATGTATGTATGTGTGCCTGTCTGTTTGTATGTATGTGTCTTTGTATGTGTGTCTTGTGCGTGTCTGTATGTATGTATGTATGTGTGCCTGTCTGTTATAGTGGGCTATAGTAAGTAATAGTAAGTGGGCTACCTAGCTCAGCCTTCCTACTGGGCATTGCTATAAGGAAGGTTAACAAATAGAAAAAAGGAAAAAAAAAAGGTGGGGAGGGGAATTGAGGAGGGAGAGGAGGGGAGCTGACGCACAGATGAGAAATCATATTATGCGCAAACAGAGAAGTGGTCTGAATATCACCGAAAGATGAGACCTTCGTTTGTTCCTTACGAAAATCGAACCAGATATCAAATATTTAGTCTCGCAGCATCAACCTCAAGGATCTCATTAATCACTAGTAAAGGTAATTTCAATTTACTTTATTGTTTTCTCATTAAACTTTATAAAGTTAAAAACATTATAAACATGCATTAAGTAGAAATAAAAAGATAAATGTAGGTACATTTATTATTATTTTTTTTAAAACACCCTCCTTTCTAAAAAATATTCTGCATTTGCGCGAAAACTGGTGGGCGGTAAGGACATTTTTCCATCAAGAAAGATGCATTTGTGGGCGGTAGGTAAAAAATGGTTGACTATCACTGCTCTAGCGCCACAGACATTTCAGCTCTAGTTCCGTTCCAGCATTCACTATCACGCAGGGTAGCTCTAACATTTCTCCCCATGCCACTACACACGTTATTACCCTGCACATCTGGTTCCATGTTCACACCCTGTGGCGTAA